GGGTCCACTTTGAGGCACAGTTTTGATAATCCGAACCGTTTATATTTTTAGATTTATTCAGTATATCATACCTGTAAAAAATCAAGTTGATCGAATATCATAAAGTATGTGTTCACAACTAAAACTCACAAATCCATTTCGGAAATCTAGATCTAAAAGACAACATTGAATTAATGTTTAAAAAGCCATACTAATTGTATATGTCAGGTAGAAATCTTAGTCTGAAATTGATGAATAATTCAAATGCTATTTTTTTTTGTCTGAAATCTATACTAAACCATTGGAACAGCTTAGCTCAGCTAACTCTAATCCTTAAGTTGGATATGCCCAGTAGTTGTAGGAATGCCATCAAGGATTTATCCGTTGGGTTAAGCTTGAAAGCTCAAACATTGAGTGTTTATATTTAAGAGCTTCTTCCTTCCATGCTATTGGAGAATATAGAGAAGCGGTATTAGGGATTCTTTTTCTTGATTTTCCCATTTAAACTACTGGGCATCATGCTCAATTCTTCTTTGCTTTGGTTTACTAAATTTCATTTTATGATAAAGGTGAAGGATTATGATGCAGAAAATTACAAATTGTATGAAGAAGTTGGAGAAGGTGTCAGCGCCACTGTTCACCGGGCTCTCTGCATTCCTTTGTGTTGACTGGGATTTGGGAATGTATCCTGCTCAAAATTGTCTTTGTTGTACATGAACCTATTATGATTAATTGTGCCAACGGGAAAAAATAATTCATGCGTAGTTTCTTCCATTGAATGGGATACGAGACTTGGTTTTACTGTATGTATATGAATTTGATTAGATGATCTGATGACTTAAAAATCTTTTGGTATGGAGATGTTTTTGCTGGACCACTCATGGGTGGTAGGAGAGAAGCTCCATACCTTATGCTTGCTTATGTTGTAAAATATCTTGCCCTGTGGTTGAGAGAAATGCCAAAAAGTTCTTATGAGAGTGATTGTACTTTGCAGGAGGTCTCAAAACCTTTGACAGCTTTCAAGTCATTTGACAACCCAAACCGGCTTCAGATTATTCGCGTACCTGTCCGCAGCAAGAGTCTGCTGTCATCTTTCTTCGTAAAACAGAAGAAGACAAAACTGAAGACCATCTCATGAATCCTCACTCAATGAAGCAAGTCGACTATACCATTCAGCAAACCACCCACATTGTGTGGGTGTAACAGCCTATGCTTGTTGGTGATCACTTGATTCATCCATTAATTGCTTATATATCTCCAAACCTTTCGTTTGGTGATCGATAACAAGAAGTGCATCATCGTCTTGGTTCGGATCAGTGTTATGTTGTATTCTGTCTTGTATGTAGGTATAGTTAACTAACTAGCAGTCCTGTTGTGAAGATGGTTTATATTGATCAAGCTTTGATGGTTAACTCTAATTTCTATTTCTTGTCCTAATTATCTGGGATTTCAGATCTGGAAATTTACTTACTGTTTTCTTTGGAAAATTAGAGCAGGTCAAGAATAATAATATTCCTACTTGGTTAATGCTAAATAATAATATTTGCTTGATGTTAGTGCGGCTTATATTATTGATCAATTGTATTTCATATTTGAAGACCATATCAGAAAAATCAGGTCCAAAGGACTCAACAGCAACTGGCTGAACTAGAGCGCAAGAAAGCTGATATTAAAAGAAATGCAGCTCTTTCAACAGCTAAATTTGCAGAGGCTTGTCAAGAGCCAGGATTGCAGGTATGATCCTGCATTGCATGCCACTCTACTGATGATGTATATTCCTTCAAGAACGAACAAATTAAGTGTCAACTTTTGTTTCTTGTCCTAATTATCTGGGATTGCAGCTAAACATTTTTAGGTTGTCTTGCTGGAGTGGACAGATGATTTGGAGCTGTTCATATTAAAGGGTTATGGTAATGCATTAAACTACCAGATGGGAGTGCCATTGCTTGAGGATGTTGTTCAGTCCATGTATGGCTAAAGAAGGTTACATAAACTATAACAATTCATATTAAATGTCTCATAAGTTTATTAATTCTTTGAATCTTATTATTGTCATATTATTTTCCACTGTGTTTATGGTTATTTGCTATTAATGCTATGGCATGTATTTCAAAACTAGGAGTTAATTCCCACGTTGTGACATTTATTTCAAAACTTATCTAAAATTAATTGTGTTATAAACTTTAATTGAAGTCTTCATGGCTAATGCTGAGGGAAAAAAATAAAGGTATCTTCTGTTTGGCTCATAATTTATACCTTCTGTTACTGTAGAAGAACATGCTCCTGGCTGTTATGAAAAGGCAAGACTGCGGTTTGCTCATGCAGAAACTCTGCTTCCATTCTCATGTCTGATTGGGCTCTTTCTTGAAGAATCCGGTGAGTGCTTTCATTCTCATATTTCTAAGAAGCGTAGACATGACACGGACATGATAACACGTAAATTTTCAAAAAATGTAGGACACGATACGTGGGTGACACGTACAAAATATATAATTTTATATATTTATTATGTCATATATAAGGATAATTATATATCATATATATGAATATTTCAACCAAAGATAATAATTTTAACAGTCTAAAGAAGGAGAATATGTATATTTTGAACCGTAGTTTATTATATATAAATATATTGTGCTGTTTAGCCGGATCTGGAATGAGACTTGGTTGGCAAGCCTTTTCTACAAACCTTGCAACTATGAGTTATTTGTCAAGCAATCCCCAACAAACCATTCTCCCCTGTTGGCAACCAATTCCCCAACAATTTCTCAGGAAACAAACACCCCTTGGAAAAATTAAACCTGAAAGGCATTGGTCTTTCATAGTACTTGTGACAAATATCTAACTGCCAATCTAGTGCATTTTTCACTATTTAAATTATAATCACTTGTACCCCTCGCGAATAATTCTAGAACAACATCTATGTTTTGACTCTATTTTGCTTCGTAGGCTATATGTGTCAGGATATTAGTTGAACCAAAGAAGGCAATTCGAAAGCTCCCTAGAGTCCAACATCTCTATGCCCCGATTGACGGGGAGGTTGAGAAGTGAAGATGATGAGGTAAAGTTCAACATGTCAAGTAAGTAAGTTTAGCTTTTATTTTAATAAATAAGATTTCCAGTTCAGAATTTATCTGTACCGTCTTCTGTATCGGAAACCTGTTACGTAACCATCTAAAATTGTCTTCCTGAACCAATATATTGTGAACATTCATGTTGTTTTATATGTGGGTGTGTATATATATAATTATTTGACTTTAGATTTTGAATGTTTCATATAAGATAATAAACAAATATATGATACTATACTAATAAAATAATGGTCAATTTTGCAAATTTTAACAATTCTGCATAAAAGAAAAGAGTAACAATAAATAGTAGATGTGGTGCAATTATATTGTGAAGAAAACATGATCTTCCTATTCCTTTTTCTTTCTCAGATCTGTATTTGACCGTGCTTTCGCTTGTCATATGCTGTCCGGTGGGCCAAAAACAGGGGTTCATTCATTTCTTCCCATAATCAGTTCAATGCTTTGAAATGTATTACTTACATTGGTTGGTCCCACACTCAAGAAAATATCACTAGGCAATACTGATTTAAAAAAACCTAATCCATCCATCTTAACATAGTCTAGTGTCATTTTTCAAAATTTTTATTTCATTATTTGTGTTTTTATAAACAAAAGCAATGAAAAGTTTATAAACACCATAGTTTTCTACTAGAATTTTTATAGGTACATGGCATGCTATATATGCACCATTGCTGCTTAGAATATTAGGTTGATAAAGTTGGTTATGGGTGTTTCACATTTCACAATGTTAAGTATATAGTTTATATCAAAGTCAAAACTGTTTTTGGATAAAGTTGGTTATGGGTGTTTCACAATTTTTATTTCACATTTCGTTTTTTTGTCATTTATTTTTGCAACCAATCTAAATGTGACTGAATGATCACATATGTTCTTTGGCAGGATGTCAGTGCTTCCCTTTCCAAAAAGTACCCCCAGTTGTACAAGGAGGGAATAAGAAATACCTTCTTCAAATGGAGAGTTGTGGTGACCTTGGCTTTGTTTTCATTTACCAATCATTAGTCATATACAATTTTGTGATCACTTCCGGTTCTAACAGTGTTGATTCGAATGGCAAGATGTTTGGCCTTTGGGATGTCAGCAAAAATGTAAACCATGTTTGTAATAACTGTTAATTTGCGGCTTCTTCTGATGTGCAACACGATTATAAGGCGGCATCAAATAACTGTTGGAGGAAGCATTGTAACATGGTTTATATTATGTGGATAAAATGGAATTAAACAATTTGGGTTAATGAGCTGGGTGTTATTTATATTTGGAATGATCTATATTTTTTTAGTTCAATCAAATAAAATTAGCCTAATTTCAAAAAAAAAAAAAAAGAGGATATGACGGCGTTTTTACGAACGCCTCTTACACCCTACATACTAACGGTCAAATTTATGCAAGAAGATATGACGGCGTTTTTCCAAAAACGTCGCTAAATGCCGCCAATGACGTCAGCATGAGTTTAGTAGGACATTTCGCGGCGTTTTTAAAACGCCGCCTATATTAATATCACGACGTTTTTAAAACGTCATAAAGTTATAGCAACGGCCGCGTCCTCGGCGTTCGGGGCTAAGCGTCACAAAAAGAATTGGCGGCGTTTTTGACACTTACAGTGGCGTTTTTTAAACGCCACTAAAAGTTAAAATTCCTGCAGTGAGAGTATTTAATCATGTTACCTCTAAACAACTAAGTTTAGTGAAATGACAAAAATGGCCTTTAACTGTTTTACTAGTGGTAATTCGATGAAGAGTCAAAAATTGCCCCGCAATTATAGGGTGATTACCTTCATTAAGGTACTCCTATTGCTTTTGAAAAGATAGTTGAATACATCTTGAATGGTCTCCATTTATATTGACATAATCAGCTTAATTTAGAATGTAAGAGAGAGAGAGAGAGAGAATGGGATGGTTACATGTTAATTTTTAATCTAAAAAACTAAAAAAAGAAACTCCATTGAGAGAGAGAGAGAGAGAGAGGGTCGTAAATCAAGTGGGAAGATCTATGACCCCTCAATGGTTAAGAGATATAGGGTCTGACAACGTGCTAAGTTTGAGTGTTTTGAAGAAAAAAAATCAAGAGACACACACATACACACACATACGGGAAAATTTTGGGAAACTCTTTGGTGCCTCCGAACATGCATTGACAAGGAGGTAGCAAAGAGGGAGGCAGGTGTAATTAACTTGTAAAATAGAGAGAGAGAGAGAGAGAGAGGGGGAGAGGGAGACAGAGACAGAGACACAGAGCTCTTCCACTTTTTTTATTTATCTATTTGTTTATTCATGCAAAGAGCCAACAATAAATTTGGCTAAATGTGGAACCAAAGGGGAAACAATAATGGAAATGCAATTGGGAATGTAGAAAGGAGGGCTGAAATAGTTGCAGTGGCAATAGACAAGGACAAAAGCAGCCAATATGCTCTTAAATGGGGTGTCGATCATCTCCTTTCTAGAGGCCAAAATGTTACCCTAATCCATGTCAAACAAAGGCCATACTCCATTCCCACTCCAAGTAACTCTCTTTTTCTCTCTCATAACTCCATAATATTTTCTTTCGCTTGACAATGTGAATAAGAAAAGTATAGGTCATTCAACTACCAAAAATATTAAATGACCATGTATATGAATATTGTGATTTGCACTTCTCTCAAGGTCATGAATCCCATTTGATTTGTTTGAGAGATTATATTTTGATTATGTTTTATATATATATATATATTTTTTAATTTTTACTTGTTAAACATATTGGGATACCTTGATTTCTAAACTCCGCCATTTAAAAAATAAATAAATAATCTAAACCATAAGCATGTTTGAACAAACCCCTTCAATCCAATCTCTTAATTCCAATTTTTGGAAGTCTTCTTTCTTTTTTTCTTTTTTTTTTCTTTTTTTTTTTTTGTTTTGTTTCCGGACAAACAAAAATGATAACGTCATTTTGTGCATAACTTCCTTGATAAATTGCAAACCGTAAAGCTAAGTTAATGTGTAATGTGCTTTTGAAAATCAAGATGGAATCAATATTCAATATTGTGTGCTTGGTTTCGAGATAAACAAATGATAATTAAAATATTTGATGATAGTTTCATGGGGTTCTCTTTTTTTATGGACACCATGTTCTTGTGTGGATGCAGTGGGAAACCATGTTGCTGTCTCTGATGTCAATGATGGAGTTGCGAAAGCATTCAAAACACAAGTTGATAATCAAGCCAAGGAGTTGTTCCTGCCCTTTCGTGCATTCTGTACACGTAAGGATGTGAGTTCAATTATTTTTCTATATATTATTGAATTTTTTGGTGGGTTAAAGCAATTCCTTCAGCTTTTATAACTCAACTTCTATTGACTCATGCAATGTCAATGTTGCAAAAGATTAACCCCCGCCCCCTACCCTAAAAAAATAAATAAATAAAAAACAAAGTTTTCAACACGGGATGGACGAGATCCATTGTGGCCAATTTAACCTTAACTAATGTGATAAATTACTATGCATTTACTTTTTATAAGTTCCCTTTGTTTGTAGCAAAGAAAGTAAGACAAATGGGAAAAAAAAAGGGAACCTTTTTTAATATTTTAACTTGTCTGTAGTCTATCGTGTAGACTAGACAACCCAGTTGGGCATGTAGGACCCACCGCAGGTGTCTTTCGGATGACTAGACCCTTTCATTTAGCATGCCCTTATGTGTAGATCATCCAAAAAAAATTAAAAATCGACGAATCATTTTGACACCATTCTTACCATTTGACGTAGTAGGAAAACATGAAAAGCAAAATTTGAAGTAACAAGAACAACACAACCTTTCTACATATTTGTTGAATTCTATGATTAGTATAATTGTACAAAAAAGAAGAAAAATCTTTCAACAAAATTCTGAATTAATTATCAAAACTTGAATAGCCCTAAGACTTACAACCCTTTTTGGGCACTTGGGCCATAATGTCAATTTCAAAACTTTTGGGCCAATAGCCCCAGGGTTTATTCTTTTGGGACCGAAAGAAAAGAAATAAATTTGAAAACATCATATTATCCCTACCTATCTATATATTTGTCCACGATGCATATATGTCTACCTATATGCCCTTGTCACTTATCCCTGTCCATGTGTCATACTGTTATATGTTCACCTAATATGTCTATCTGTCCATATCACCACTGCTAGCGCTTCCACTGGTCACCATCAGTGACTTTTTTGCCAACAACAGTGGTTCGTCGTTGATCTGGTGGCAATGAGGTAAAAAAGAAAAAAAAAGAACTTCAAAACAATAATTTTTCATTCTCGCCAAACAATTTCATTAATCGTGTCTTTATCTCCAAAAAGGATCAATTCCTGGACTTAATGCCATAGCCCTCCATAGAAATGGACTTATCACAAGTAAACTCTTATTTATAATAGAAGAGAACTTCTAAAGACACTAGCACTAAAAAGGAAAATAAAATATTATGAAATAAAAACAACTTCTTGTAGAACAATCCTTTCTTTTCTTTTTCTTTTTCTTTTTTTTCTTTTTTTTTTTACATTATTAGCAAACAAAAGAAGAATTATATTAGAAGCTATATATGTATATAATAGAATACCAAGGGGATAGGAATTGTATCATTGTTAAAACATTACATCTCAACTATGTTGGCACCTGATACATGACTAATCATTTGCAACCTCAAGGACAAGAAGAAACAAAATCGAAGCGTTGAGATGGTTCTAACTCCACCCTACAGAACAAAAATACAACACATTAACAGAACTAGGAAAAACAAATGCCAAAAGAAACACATCTGCCACTGGAGGAATCACCTACTACGCCCTACACAAAATCTAATTTGCTTTATGTTAAAAATAAAATCAACAACCTAGAAAGATGACCCTAATGAATGGTATTTAAACCATAGCACCACTCAGACTTTTATAAACTCACTCAATTCATCTAGACTTAGATGATGACCATTGAAGAGACAATCATTTCTATGCCTCCACACAAACCACAACACTACTGAAGGAATGGTTTTCCAAATCTGGTATTCTAACTTTTTGAACTTGGTTCCAAACCACCATTGAAGCAAATTTTCCATGGAACCTGGAGATGCCCATTGAAAGCCTCACCAATTAATGATATTAAACCAAACCCTCCAAACAAATGGACATAATAGTAGTACATGATTCAAAGTTCCATTGTTAGAATTACAAAGCACAGGTAGTGAAAGCACTTCTACTCAACATACATATTCTTTGCAAGAACACAAAGGTCTTAACCCTTCCTCTGCATGCTAATCATGTAAGGAATTGCACTTTAGGAGAAGAAGCATTCTTCAAAACCAAACTTGTTAACTAGAGATTGTGTTACCCAAAAGGCAACCCAAGAGGGGGGTGAATTGGGTTTCTACAAATTAAAACTAATAATTACCCAATAAAAACTTGGCAATAAGTACAATAGGTATAACAGATAATAATCACAATAATATCAGATGAATATCACAATTAAAGTAATTTAAATAGATGAGTAAAGAGATGAGGGAAAAGAAAGCAAACAAGATTTATAATAGTTCGACTTCAACCATGCCTACGTCTACTCTTCAAGCTTTACTTGAGATTTTTCACTATTCTTCTAGCTTCATAGGGTGCTAGAAACATCATGTACATGGAGCAATCCTCCACAAATTTTCTAGCTTCACAAGGGTGCTAGTAACCTCATACATATGGAACAATACTCCACAAATTCCCTAGCTTTACAAGAGAGCTAGTGACTTCTTACAAGTTGGTGATGAGTGCTTTTTCTTTCAAAGAAAGATACAAGGATAACCTCTCTCAAGTAGATACAAAATAATGAAGCTCTCAGAATTTTCTATGAACTCTCTCAAAGGTAAATAGACATAAGGCTAAAGCTTAGTATATGTTTTCTGAAGATGAGTGATGTATCAAGGATGAGGAACTCTTCAGATTAAACCAGAGAAGATGGAGTATGAGATTAATGAAGAATAATAAACTTTTCTAGCTTGTGGTTCACATCTCTGTCTCTTTGTTTTATCTTCCTTTCACTTTAGAGCTTTGTAATATATAGAGTAGAGTGCTTTCATTTCTTATCATTGGTGATGGTGAGATAATATACATATAATTAATGTCATCCTTTGTCTCTAGCCTATGTGAGTTTTGCCCGTCGGAAGATGGGTACAGTCGTTGTAGGAACGTTACAAAATTGATTCATACACAGTGGTCGTTCACCTGAATGTCCAGAGTAATCATTTACACTAGGTGGTCATCCGCCCAGACGTCCCCTTGGATGACCACCTGGACGTCCACCAAACATCAGTTGAACGAGGCAAGATAACCTTGGCCAGTCCTCCCTTCGATCAACCAGCTAGCCGACCACCCTGTGGTGGCTCGGCCTTCTTCCTTTACTACTTTGTGCTGCTACTATTCTGGGCCTGGTTCTATACCTGTTTTATCATCATTTTGGCCTTCAAATAGCATAGTTAACACAAAGAGAAGATAGATTATAATAATTAAATCAAACAATAAGTTTTTAATTGTAATCCACTCTACAAAATAAATCAAAACAAATCATCGAAATTCATGTTATTCATGCTATGCTTACAATCTCTCACATTTCGATGATGGCACACAAGGATGTTTTGATTTGTTTGGGTGAGGAACAACTCCCCCTCAAGGCATGCTTTTCTTAAATTTCTCTCCTTGACAAAGTCACATTCACATACATAAAACTTCCTTTCATTCTCTCCCCTTTGACATTATCAAAACAACATTACTGTGTAGCTTGAATTTGAGCTTGGCCTGAATGGGTCGAAATTCATCTTACCGGTCGTCTGACCGATCATTCAGCCGGTCGTTCGGTGACAAAGCTGACAGTCACGGTTGACAAGGTGACAACCGTGGTAGACAAGTGTTTCACCTGGTCATCCAGGTGGTCGTCCGGCCAATCGTCTAGTAATCTGACCGGACAACCAGCGAGAAGGCTGACAGCTGCAATCGATAAGGCGACAACCGCGGTAGACAAGTGTTTCACCCGGTCGTCTGGGAGGTCATCCAATAAACACCAATTTGGGCCTTTTCAAGCTACAAGGCATTTTTTCTATCAAAACTAAATATGGAGTTAATGTTCAAGTCACTCTTCCCCTGAGAAAAACATCTTTACTCTTACATCATCAACAATTAATAAGCCAAAGATCATGTTTGTAAGAATTAAGATACCAAGAACATTGATACCAAAACAATTTCACATTATCAACAATTAATAAGCCAAAGATCATGTTTATAAGAATTAAGATACCAAGAACATAGATACCAAAACAATTTCACATTATCAGCAATTAAAAAGCCAAAGATCATGTTTGTAAGAATTAAGATACCAAGAACGTAGATACTAAAACAATCTCTTTCTCTCCCCCGATGACATTATCAAAAACACATAGGGAAGTTGGCCCTACTTAGCAAAATGGGATGATAAAAAATGGCAAGTCTCATTATATCTCAAATAATCATTCATTTCAATATTACTAGTGGATAGATAGATAATACATTTCAAGCTCATACCAATACCAATTTATAGTAATGGGAAAATAGATAATGATAGTATGAAAGTACCATATAGCAGTTAAAGAGCAAGCTGATATGTTTGATACCAAATGTAAATGATGTTACTGATGCCAATAGGATATCAATATGCAGTCTAAAAGATTTAACAATCATAGCATAAGCATTATGCAGAATACCAATTATAGCTCACAACAATTTAATCTCATTACAATCTCATAGAGCTACTATAATTCAACAACTGAAACGTGTCCAAAGTATAACAGTTCATATGCCTAGAAAATCATGAAATCAATATATAGCACATATTTAAGCATAGGCAAGATTTTCTTTCTTCTTTTTTGGCAAGAGCATATTCATCATTAAAGAATATACATTACAATCATATGATGCAACTTTAAATGCCATGAATAATCAATCCCTTTTTTATATCATTGTAATGAAAATGTTAGTTCAAAGGATGTGAGATAACATATGAAATTTATCACAAGAGCTCAAGAGTGGATTAGGAATCACACCATTAATTCATGAGTTGGAAACTTTTTCATTCTTCAATTTCCTTGCATAAGGAGTCTCTCAGAGGAATTTAACATGCATGGTTAATAAAATTATTTCTCCCCTTAAGTTGGTGCTTCCTTTTTCCATTGTGATTTTGTGCATGTTTATCCAATAATAAAACAATCACATAAAACATATAGTGTATAAAATGTAAGCACATTATAAATGTTGTTCTATATCTCCTCTTTTGAAAATAGATAAACTTAGAAGATGAGAAGATTTCAATAGG